AACCGCTGAAATCAAATCTGCGGATACAAGGGGTTCTACTGTGCAGGAGTTTCTTTTTACTGGGTTTGGATACCTTGCTTGAACTCTATGTCAAGCAAGTATACAGCCAAGTTCAGCTGAGGAGCTAACTAGTCTCTCCTCACTAAGCGACATACTCTTTTAATGACGACTTGGACTACGACGGGCTCTCTGACCAGTATGCGCACCTAAATTATGCATATTAGAGCCGATTTCCTTTATTCTGTTTATTACAATATACAGTAACACTACTGTATAAACATTTAGAAGTATACTAAAAATGTTATAAATGGCACAATGGTGACATTCAACAACATCAAATATGGTCGACACAAACGACTACCATTATAGTATGCTCCTCTCTCAGCAACGAATTTGTTTATAAATTAGACACATGTGCAACTCTTGGGTATCTTTATTGAGGAAACGTTTCGCCAACAGTGGCTTCATCAGTCCATACAAAGGAGAATCTTGAACAGGAGGAGAATGAGGTAATCAGTCCCTCAACCTTGAGTCGATGTGGTCAGTCCATCAATCTTGAATAGAATACGGCATACGTGCTGAGAAGGAGCTTATAAACCGTTGGCAGGAGAGGTGCAGCAGTCATAGGTGGTGTAACATTTGTTCAATGTTGAAGTAGGTCATGCCCAAGAATTCTTGGGCACGACCTACTTCAACATTGAACAAATGTTACACCACCTATGACTGCTGCACCTCTCCTGCCAACGGTTTATAAGCTCCTTCTCAGCACGTATGCCGTATTCTATTCAAGATTGATGGACTGACCACATCGACTCAAGGTTGAGGGACTGATTACCTCATTCTCCTCCTGTTCTTCAAGATTCTCCTTTGTATGGACTGATGAAGCCACTGTGTGGCAAAACGTTTCCTCAATAAAGATACCCAAGAGTTGCACATGTGTCTAATTTATCAACATGTCGGTTCTCTGAACCATTCATCTACAAACAAATTTGTTTACCGATGTGGTATTAGGAACGGAACTCCGTCGTTAAGTGAGGAGAGGCTGTACTATCCCCCTCAAGGGATGTATGGTACTTTGCTGCTAAGCTCTTGATCTAAGGAATCTGAACCATCCTGCCTTTCCTTGGATCATATTTTAATGCTTACCATTCCCTAGGAGTTGTATGACCCCCCACATTTTTGGAGTTTCCACTGAAATATAATAATGCCTGTGGCAGCTCACAGTGAATGGAATGCCCAGCACATAAAACAAAGCATGGACAGAGACAAGGCATACACAAAATCTTTTAGAATGTTAACCCTTTGAGGGTTTCGGACGTACAGTGGACCCCCCGCATACCGTTGGCCTTACATAACGTTAAATCCACATACCGATACATTTTATCGCTAAGATTTCGCCTCGCATACCGCTAAAAAACCCACTCAACGCTGTTCGTCCGAGACGCGTCCAATGTGCGGCCTGAGCCAGCCTCACATGTTCCGCCGGTGGCATTGTTTACCAGCCAGCCTCCGCGGTAACATCCAAGCATACAATCGGAGCATTTCATGTTATTACAGCGTTTTTGGTGATTTCATCTGCAAAATAAGTGACCATGGGCCCCAAGAAAGCCTCTAGTGCTAACCCAGTGGTAAAAAGGGTGAGAAATGCTATCATACCACAGTCAGCTGCTGCTGCACCATGGTCAGCTGTTGCTTGACCAGTAAGCTGTTGCTGGATCAGTCAGCTGCTGTTGCACCTCGATCAGCTGTTGCTGGATCAGTCAGCTGCTGTTGCACCTCGATCAGCTGTTGCTGGACCAGTCAGCTGTTGCTGGATCAGTCAGCTGCTGCTGCACCACGATCAGCTGTTGTTGGACCAGTCAGCTGTTGCTGAATCAGTCAGCTGCTGCTGCACCACGATCAGCTGTTGCTGGATCAGTTAGCTGCTGCTGCACCACGATCAGCTGTTGCTGGACCAGTCAGCTGTTGCTGGATCAGTTAGCTGCTGCTGCACCACGATCAGCTGTTGCTGGATCAGTCAGCTGCTGCTGCACCACGATCAGCTGTTGCTGGACCAGTCAGCTGCTGCTGCACCACAATCAGCTGTTGCTGGACCAGTCAGCTGTTGCTGGACCAGTCAGCTGTTGCTGCACCACGATCAGCTGTTGCTGCACCACGATCAGCTGTTGCTGCACCACGATCAGCTGTTGCTGCACCACGATCAGCTGTTGCTGGACCAGTCAGCTGTTGCTGGACCAGTCAGCTGTTGCTGGACCAGTCAGCTGCTGCTGCACCACAGTCAGCTGCTGTTGCACCATCAGCTGTTTCTGAACATGACTCGTCCCGAACCTGTCCGTCCAGCCTGAGCGCCTGCCTTGCTGTCATTGTTTACAAGCCAGGGTGGCCAGGTGCATGTATACATTCGTTACATTTTGTATTATTCCATTATTTATAGTGCTTGTAACTGCTAAATAAGCCACCATGGGCCCAAAGAAAGCTTCTAGTGCCAACCCTGTGGTAAAAAGGGTGATAAATACTATCGTACCACAGTCAGCTGATAAATTGGACCAGTCAGCTGTTGCTGCACCACAGCTGTTGTTGCTGCACCACCATCAGCTGTATTACTCGAAGATGTGGAGAGAGTGTTGTTGGTGTGGCTTAATGTGAAACAATTACCAAGAAACAATTAACCCCAGAGGGTTAGCCACCCAGGATAACCCAAGAAAGTCAGTGTCATCGAAGACTGTCTAACTTATTTCCATTGGGGTCCTTAATCTTGTCTCCCAGGATGCAACCCACACCAGTCGACTAACACCCAGGTGAACAGGGAAAAACGCCTGAAACTAGTACTCATATTGGTGAATTTAAAGCCAGCAAAGGTTGGTTTGAGAGATTTAAGAATCGTAGTGGCATACACAGTGTGATAAGGCCTGTTCTGGAAGAAAATGCCAAACAGGACCTACAGTACTCAGGAGGAAAAGGCACTCCCAGGACACAGTGTCTCATCAGTCATTGCTGCATCTTCAATAAAGGTAAGTGTCATTTATTCTTCATTTAGTAGAGTAGTACATGCACAATATATACTGTGCATGTACTACTCTACTATTGTGCATGTATCTTTCTCTTTGTGTGTAGGAAAATGTATATTTCATGTGGTAAAAGTTTTTTTTTCATACTTTTGGGTGTCTTGCACGGATTAATTTGATTTCCATTATTTCTTATGTGGAAAATTCATTCACATAACGATAATTTCGCATAACAATGAGCTCTCATGAACGGATTAATATCGTTATGCGGGGGTCCACTGTACTAGTACGGCATGCGGGGGTCCACTGTACTAGTACGGCTTACGACCCAGGGTTTTTGACGTACTAGAACGCCTAAATTCTAGCTCCCTCAAATCTAGTGGGAGAAAGCTGGTAGACCTCCATATGAAAGAATGGGTCTATGTGGTCAGTGTGCACGGTATAAAAAAAATCCTGCAGCACACAGTGCATAATGAGAAAAAAAAAAAACTGACCGTTTTTTTGGAATAAAACAGCGACTTTGCACTGTATTTTCGTATGGTATTTATTGTTGTATTCTAGTTTTCTTGGTCTCATTTTATAGAATGGAAGGCATATCATAGAAAATGAGATGATTTTGACTGGTTTTACAATGAAAAGTACCTTGAAATTGAGCTCAAAGCAGCAGAAATGTTTGATTTTTACCAAAGTTCAAAAGTAAACGAATCATGCCAAGCGTCCAATACACGTCAACTGGCGAGTCTAATATTCTTTTGGAAGTGCGCCAATATGATTCATACCATTTTTTACACTAATGCAGAAGTCTGCATAACAGTAAATCTTCTATTTTTTGTGAGAATAAAAATTCAAAGTGGAAAGCAAAAGAATGTAAGAGGAGCCTTGAGACGTGACTTATGAACAGAGGAAATGTCATTTTAGTGCCAGGAATGTATTTCTTGTTTGTTCTGGACCCTATTCGGAAATTGGCATCTTTTGAAATTTGTGTGAAATTGGCAAAATTGCTAAATTCTGACCACTGAACTGGATAGTTGAAATTGGTAAATGGGTGGTTTCTTGCACTCATTCAATAGAAAATATGGAGTTCTAGCAAAATATTCATGTTTTTTGTCGACTAGTACAGTGGAACTGGCTGAAAATGGGGCTCAAAGTGGGCAAAATCGCCGATCCGTAAACATCGCCGAGACCGCTAACTTCGCGAGAGCATAATTCCGTAAGTTTTCCACCAAATTTCATATTTTTGGTGTCATTATGATCGGGAAAAGATTCTCTATCTTTTCATAAGATTTTTTTTTTTTTTTTTTTTAAATTTGGCCGACCCTGAGAATGAGTCTCGGAGAGGTCCTGTCGACCCTCAAAGGGTTAACAGAGATTACTAATAAAAATTAGAGATTCAAAGTACTATCATTATTTTTAGGTATCCTAAAGGTTTACCTCTGAGAGGTTGCCTAATGTTTTCTTTTCTTTCTTCCTCCTACTTTTGGATTTTTTGCTCGTAACTCAAGAATGTCTCATCCAATCCGCTTCAAATTTTCAACACTTGTTATTGAGCCTATCCCCAGCAATCTGGAATGGCTTAGATAATATCCAAAATCTTCAGTGGCAGAGCTTCAAATGTTCACTAAAGGTGCCAAAAAAATATGGAGAGTGAAATTCAAAAGTGGAGGTGAAGATTTGAAAACTCTTGTATATAAAATAGTATAAAAAATTTATTCCCATTAAATTGATCATGAATTTCAGTTTACCTCTTCTAAATGGCTTCAATACAGGAAAAATCTGATGAATATGACTAATAGAGGGAAAGGGATGTCCATCCAATTTACTGAAAATTCCACTTATACTGAAAGTTTCAATTAAGTGAAGTAGATTAAGTGGATGAAGTTTGTTTAATTGATAGACAACCAGACAGACAAACATGGAATAAACTGACTTAGTCCACTATATTGATGACATGACCTGACACAAAGAAAAAGATAATACAAGCAAGCTGAAGCTCACCATGTTCAATATCTTCATCGTCGTCATCATCATCGTCATCATCATCGTCCTCTTCACTGGCTTTTGCTGCAAAGTAAAATCTTTTTTTTACAGTATTCACACCGATATACATCATGTATATATATACTTTAAGCTTTATCTACATTACTGTGAATAGCAAGAATTAAGTGCAACACACCCGTAAATTTACCTTATACACAGCATCATCTTTAACAAAATGCGAAGAACAACTTAAAATACACTAATAACCCACACACAGGAAAATGAAACTTGTGACTACATTTTGGTCCAACTTGCACCATTAACTAATCATACACAAGCATGAAGGGAAGGGTATCAGTATATACAAGGAGGGCTGCACCAGGAGTAGAATGAAAGATAGTAGTAGTTTAATTAGTGCAACAGTGGCAGAGGTGACAATAAGCATAAATGAAACAGCAGCAGTAGTAGTAGGTGGTAGTAGTAATAAGAGGTGGTGGTAGTAGTAGTAAGAGGTACTAGTAGGTAGTAGTAGCAGGTAGTAGAAATAGTGGTGATAATAATAGTAGTAGGTCTAAGAATAAGAAAAAGGAGAACTGCAGGAGAGCTATTAGCTCGCAACTGTGGGACCAAAAACAAGGGGAAAAGAAAACTCATAGGACCGAACCAGCCTTGGCAGAAGAAAGGAACAGCAGAGAAAATGTAAGAACATTTCACAATGTAATGAGAAAGGAAGGCATCTATATAGACAAAGCCAAGATCAAAATTCCTATTAGGAAAGGGATGCTTCACCAAGACACCATCTGTGAAGGCTAGAATGGTGATAAGTTTTGGCAGTTAATAGGACAAATATGATCTCTCAAACGTAACAGTAGGGGGAGGGGGATAATCCTGCAATCAGCTCTCCTGCAGTGCTTTTTATCTCATTCTTAAATTACCTTAAATTACCAATTATCTCCATAACACTTACAAAATCTTAAATGAATTATGGCAGTCTTTTAAATTAACTAAATTTCCATTTTCCATTTTTTTCACTAATTCATAAAAACATACATCAATTTCTTCTATTTACTTGGCAAACCTAAATTTACCTGCATAAGCTCTCTTCAAGCCCTGGAAAAGCAAGAGCATAGCCGGTAAAATTTCTTTATGACACTCCTGTAGTACTCCCAAGCGATCTGGACCAAGCTGTAGCAATGTGCACATCCCCAAGACGCAGATCTTACGGTCATGGAGTCTGTGGGAGATTTGTTAGTGAGCAATGCATGCCTACAAAATTATAAAAGGTAAAGAGACACGTGCAATTAATAAGACATTTCATTGCAGCAACATTTTGTTCTCCAGGAGTGCCTGGAGATGAAAACACTGCCACAGTAAAATGTCTCATCAGTTCCATGTATCCTTTTGCCTAACATTGTTGGTAATTTTACCAATGTTGTTATAAAAGCAATGCAATACCAAATAAAATAAAAGATGGTGTTGCAAATAAAAATTTTGAAGTTTTAATCTTTTTTTTTATTTATTATCACACTGGCCGATTCCCACCAAGGCAGGGTGGCCCGAAAAAGAAAAACTTTCACCATCATTCACTCCATCACTGTCTTGCCAGAAGGGTGCTTTACACTACAGTTTTTAAACTGCAACATTAACACCCCTCCTTCAGAGTGCAGGCACTGTACTTCCCATCTCCAGGACTCAAGTCCGGCCTGCCGGTTTCCCTGAATCCCTTCATAAATGTTACTTTGCTCACACTCCAACAGCATGTCAAGTATTAAAAACCATTTGTCTCCATTCACTCCTATCAAACATGCTCACGCATGCCTGCTGGAAGTCCAAGCCCCTCGCACACAAAACCTCCTTTACCCCCTCCCTCCAACCTTTCCTAGGCCGACCCTACCCCGCCTTCCTTCCACTACAGACTGATACACTCTTGAAGTCATTCTGTTTCGCTCCATTCTCTCTACATGTCCGAACCACCTCAACAACCCTTCCTCAGCCCTGTGGACAACAGTTTTGGTAATCCCGCACCTCCTCCTAACTTCCAAACTACGAATTCTCTGCATTATATTCACACCAAACATTGCCCTCAGACATGACATCTCCACTGCCTCCAGCCTTCTCCTCGCTGCAACATTCATCACCCATGCTTCACACCCATATAAGAGCGTTGGTAAAAACTATACTCTCATACATTCCCCTCTTTGCCTCCAAGGACAAAGTTCTTTGTCTCCACAGACTCCTAAGTGCACCACTCACTCTTTTTCCTCATCAATTCTATGTTCACCTCATCTTTCATAGACCCATCTGCTGACACGTCCACTCCCAAATATCTGAATACGTTCACCTCCTCCATACTCTCTCCCTCCAATCTGATATTCAATCTTTCATCACCTAATCTTTTTGTTATCCTCATAACCTTACTCTTTCCTGTATTCACCTTTAATTTTCTTCTTTTGCACACCCTACCAAATTCATCCACCAATCTCTGCAACTTCTCTTCAGAATCTCCCAAGAGCACAGTGTCATCAGCAAAGAGCAGCTGTGACAACTCCCACTTTGTGTGTGATTCTTTATCTTTTAACTCCACGCCTCTTGCCAAGACCCTCGCATTTACTTCTCTTACAATCCCTTCTATAAATATATTAAACAACCACGGTGACATCACACAATCCTTGTCTAAGGCCTACTTTTACTGGGAAAAAATTTTCCTCTTTCCTACATACTCTAACTTGAGCCTCACTATCCTCATAAAAACTCTTCACTGCTTTCAGTAACCTACCTCCTACACCTTACACTTGCAACATCTGCCACATTGCCCCCCTATCCACCCTGTCATACGCCTTTTCCAAATCCATAAATGCCACAAAGACCTCTTTAGCCTTATCTAAATACTGTTCACTTATATGTTTCACTGAAAACACCTGGTCCACACACCCCCTACCTTTCCTAAAGCCTCCTTGTTCATCTGCTATCCTATTTGTACTCGTCATATTTTATAGTGTACCACCAAATATCTTTCATATTATCTATATGTACCTCCATGGGAAAGTGGATAAGAATCCTACCTTTGTCAGCCATGCGTGTCGTAAGAGGCAACTAAAATATTTTGCCAGGAGCAAGGGGCCAGTAATCCCTTCTCCTGAATAAATAACTAAATGTAAAAAGAAAAACGTTAGTTTTTTCTTTTTCGAGTCACCCTGCCTCATGAAAATGGCCGAAGTGTAAAAAAAAAATTAATGATGTAACAATCTGTATATTTCTAACCTGGAAGCAGAACAAAAAAAAAAATGACTTCACAAAGTGTAAGATTGTTATTCTTGACATAACATCTTTGAATGGTGACAAAAGTGAGACCTCCATTATCTTTAGCAATTACCAAAAAATTGTTTTTTTTTGAAGTGTATAGTAGGAGCATTATTGAAAGAATTAGAGGCAAGACATGGAGAGCATGCAGGATCACAGATGAACAAGCAGGCTTTAGAATGAGTAGGGGATGTGTAAACCAAGTGTTTACATTGAAGAATATGAGTGAACAATATTTACATAAAGGTAGGGAAGTTTTCACTGCCTTTATGGATTTAGAAAAGGCGTATGATAGGGTGGATAGAGAAGCAATGTGGCAGATGTTGCAAGTGTATGGAATAGGTAATAAGTTACTAAATGCTGTGAAGAGTTTTCATGAGGATAGTGAGGTTCAGGTTAGGGTATGTCAGAGAGGGGAAGATTACTTTCCAGTAAAACTAGGCCTTAGACAGAGATGCATGTCACCATGGCTGTTTAACCTATTTATGGATAGGGTTGTAAAAGAAGTAGATGCTAGGGTGTTGGGGAAAGGGGTGGGATTAAATTATGGGGAATCAAATACAAAATAGGGGTTGACAGCTACTTTTTGCTGATGATACTGTGCTTTTGGAAGAGTCTCAAGAGAAGTTGCAAAGGTTAGTGGACGAGTTTGGGAGGATGTATACAGGAAGAAACTTGAAAGTAAGCATAGATAAGAGCAAGGTGATGAGGATATCAAACGAGTTAGGTAAAGAAAAACTGGATATCGTATAGGAGGGAGGGAGTATGGAGGGAGGGAGTATGGAAGAAGTGAATGTGCTCAGATATTTGGAAGTAGACTTCTCAGCGGATGGGTTTATGAAGGACGAGGTTAACCATAGAATTGATGAAAAAAAAGGCTAGTGGTGCATCAAGATATCTGGAGACAAAAAAACATTATCCATGGAGGCAAAGAAGGGAATGTACGAGAGTAGTGGTACTAACACTTATGTGGGTGTGAAGCAAGGGTTGTAAATGCTTCAGCAAGGAGGATAGAGGCAGTAGAGATGTTGTCTAAGGGTAATATGGGGTGTAATTATAGGTGGTGTGGAGTTACTAAAAGTATTATTCAGAAGGCTGAAGAGGGGTTGCTGAGGTTCTCTGGTCATTTAGAGAGGATGGAGAAAACTAGGATGACTTGAAAGGTATACAAATCTTTAGTGGAGAGGAGGAGGGGTAGGAGTCATCTTTGGAAAGTATGAAGGGTGTAAAAAAGAGGTTGTGTGTGAAAGGGGCTTGGACATGCAGCAGGCACGTGTGAGCGTGTTAGATAGGAGTGAATGGAGATGAATGATTTTTGGGACCTGACGAGCTGTCGAGTGTGAGCAGGGTAATATTTTGTGAAGGAAAGCTTTTCAGCCAGACTTGAGTCTTGGAGGTAGGAAGTACAATGCCTGAACTTTAAAGGAGGGGTTTGGGATATTGGCTATTTCAGGTGACATCTAAACTGTCATATCTGAGTGCCTCTGCGAAGTCAGTGATTGTGTGTGAATGATGGTGAAATTTTTTTTTTTTTTTTTTGGGGGGGGGGGGGGGGAGGGGGGTCACCTTTCCTTGGTGGGAGACGGCAGACACGTTTAAAAAAAAAAATCAATTAACTTCTCCAGCACAACCACTATCTACTGTAAATTTACTGCAAATCTCATGCAATGGCTCCCCTTTTCTTGACACTTTCTTAAATGTTGATACTTACCAGTTTTAATTTTGAGGCTTCCAACAGTGAAATGGTTAACTTTTATCCCCCTTCACCGTCAGTAGCCCCAAAATTAAAAGTGCTCAGTGTCTTTTTTTTTTTTTTTAATTTCTTTTGAAATATTCTTTTTTTTAAGGTACTGGTACCGTAAGTATGAAATTTGATATAAAACTTACAAAATTATGTAGGCGCAAATTCAATGGTCTCACCCACCGTATAAAGAATTTTTACTTCGATACAATCATAAATGGGCGAAAAACTGGAAAGCCTAAATACTGTTATATATATCTGAGCTGATGTTGCTGATTAGTGATCATTTATTGCCTAACCCAATACCATAAACTAGCAGGTTTTCATCTGATTTCATTTTTTCATAGTTCTATTCAGAAAAACAGGCTCTTTCAAACTGTCAAAATTTTGATAATTAAAGAGTCTCCCACACTGGAAATAAAATGTAGAGGGGTCACCATGAACTGGAAAAGTATCATCACACTGCCTTTCATTAATCTTCCATTAAAAACAATGATCTTGTATTGCAATACCTTACCCAAAATGTTTGCTAATATTAAATAAAAAATACCACCACCATAAATCAGATACCGCTTTGTATTAAAACAAACATTTTAATGTCTAGTCCTTTATACACAACTTATTTTAAAAACCACATTCAACTCCAAAATTTTAAAAAATTTCATAATTTTCCAGCAACACTGTTACATGCAATTACCAAATTAAGAAGTCTCAATGCCCAGGCTAGATCATTTCACAAGCCCATAAATTTCTGCATTGCATACAATGAACTAAGACTGACAGCAATGACAATTTTCAGTTTAAGAGCTTTGAGATTAATTATAAATTCCATGTTAGCATGCAATGCTGCATCTGGTAATAACCTAAAAACTTACATGGGTCCGCTGCATACACAAATACTACAGGTAGTTAAAACAATTCTTTGGTAAACAAAACAGTACAAACAAGGGGACTTTAATTAATGGCTGCAGCATTAAACTAAAATGAGCAACTCATGGTCTCACCCAAGGAAACAATCCGTGTCATGAATCCACTGCTTAATGAAGTGTGATGTGAGGGTTGTTGTTGTGTTGGGTAATGTTGTGGACTCCAGCACTTGAAGGAGGGGATCTGGGGCAGTATACAACGTTGCTATCACCACCTGCAATAAGCAATTTATAGCTTTTTCACCTTAAATTAGAAATACAAAAATTGTTCACACCATAAGCAAAACAAAGCACTTCATTAATTATATTCCTATCCGCCTTGTGTAAGCAACCAAAAGAAAAAAAAAACATAGTACCAAAATGCAACCTTATCAGCATTAATACATCAACCCTTTTAATAAACATAAATGCCCCCTTAGTGTCAAGTTTAGCACAAACAGGGAAAGAGGGAAGGGGAGAAGGAAGTGGGAAAGGGAAGAGTTGGAGAGAGAAAAATGAAATTATATTCATGGAGCATCACCACTCAAGGGTTACATAGCCTGTGAAATGGAAGTGTGGGGGGTGATCAGGTTGAATGGTAGAAGGAAAAAAGGAAAATATGGAGAGAGAAGAGGTTTAGACCCATTTTTTGCTACCATGGCAGAACTACCATGTTATTAAAGAATACAATACTTGCCTGCAATAACATTGTTCGCAACTCTGTTGTTTTGACTTCTCTCAATAGTCGCTCCACTACAAGCTGAATGATGGACCCCAAGCATTGGTTGATGCGACCCTGGCACTGTAGAACCACGACCTCAAGTAGCTTGGCAGCATGGCACTCGTCATCTTCCGAACAATCCTTGAAAAATCAAGTGGCAAGGAGAAAAAAAATTATGGGAAACATTCTACAAGTACTGTATTTCTTAGAGGAAAAGGAAACGAGAGAGAAAAAACAAAACAGTTCCAGTGTATCCAAACAAAACTCAAATTCTATTAATACAGTACATTAACTATTTACTCGACTTGAGTACAGTACTGCAATAACAGTATATAGCACAAGCCACTCAAAGATCTATATTCATGTCAAGTTCATGTCATGACAGTACGTTACCAAACTTAACAGACTGAAAGAGGCATACGAAGTCCACTGCTAGAAAAATACATGACTTGAGCATCAAAATGACACTTAAATCTTCAAAGCACTAGCATAGTTTAATAAATAGAAGCCTGTTCTATACAAACCATATACACAAGTGTACCAGATCAAAGGAGGAAAGAGTAATGGACAGGACTGTATAGTCCTAGACTAAGAAAACATTTTATACTGTGGCTACTTAGCAAATCAGTTAAGCCAGCCTGGAGGTTAAGTGTACTTGCCTATTTTTGGTTGCAGGGGTTGACTCTTAGATCCTGGCCTTGCCTCTTAACTTGCCTCTCTCCAGATTTACCTCCTCTTAGCCTCATGGGTCTTACTGAATCTGCTATTATAACTATATATGGAACCTGCCTCTACCAATTCCTCACTATGATCATTCCACTTCCCAACCGCTCAGACTGAAGAAATACTTCAACATCACAGCAGATCATCCATGACTGACTCTGCGGTGTCCCAGAGTTCCCATTTCTCACTTCTGAAATATCCTATCCCTGTCTACCTTATCAATTCCCCTCCCCTCGTCGATAGCCTCTCCTCATGGCTCATGTCCCTTAGCTCAAGAACAAGTCTTGTTGCATACATCTGCACTTTCTTCAGTTTCTTAACCCCCTAAACTGCCACATGCTGATGAAGAGGTGTACATAAACTGCCACACATACACACACACACATATGAACGTTCAAATTCTCACTCCTTCACAATGGCTGCGATTGGGAATGTTAGATACTGGAGATAAAGTAGGCCTGTGTCACTGGTGAGCACACCAGCGAAAAATTCCTCTGCCATACAGGCCATTGTGGGAACAGTTTGCCTCAAGGTACCACAACACATTCAGTCCTAAACCTCCCCTCACCCAACAGACTACTGGTCATTTGCCTAGGCTAATTCTAGTATTGAAAGACTTGTATTAATGTGAAGACACCCTGCCAGAAAAACAAAGAAATGCAAGGACATGATTCATGTCTAAAACTTGCAAAACTCTACTGTGCATGGAAACCTGCTTTAAGGTATTTCAAGAACTCAAGCAACTGAAGTGGGTACAGTAAACAGGAAATGTATAGTGTGTATAGTACAGTGCATATAATATACAAGTTAACAATTTTACTCAGATTATGACCACTTCCATAACAAACCTGTGTTAGTATAGTCTTGCACATTTCGCACACTGCCAAAAGATGAGCTTCATTACTCAAAAATGCATCTGGGTCAACCGTTACATAATTGTGTAGGGCTGGCATCATCTCCGTAAAGTAATCAAAGCCATCATTCCGGAACATCTGAAGAGCATTTACAACACTTCAGTGCATTATTTATTAATCTAAGAAGTATATAAAAGCTATATTTTTTTAAACAGTGATTGTGTGTGAATGATGGGGATTTTTTTTTTTGTCACCCTGCATCAGTGGGACATGACTGACATGTTGAAAAAAAATTAAAAAAAAAAAAAAAATTGAAAAGTATACACTAAAATGAAAGACTACAGAACATACCGACTTATTAAGTTGCTCATTACTACTACCAGAAAAGACCTGTTCAGTCAAAGGCTCCAGGCACAAGTTGTAAATGGTTGACAATGGATAATGAATCATGGAGAAAATACATAACTAAAAAAAATTTTTTTTATATATGGCTACACTAACGGCAACACAACCTTATGGTACACACATTCGTTACAGCACTATTTCAATGATTAGGGTTAACTGTTCATATGCAAAATCTGACGATTATTCTATTTAACTTACTGAAAATTCCACATGTGGATACCTTTATTTAAATAAAAAATTCAGATAGGTTCAAACGTGCTAGAAATGCTTAGGTAGTTAACTTTTAAGGTCCATGAATACAAGAAATAAATGGTTTGTCCCTACCTGATACATCATTTCAAAGCATTTCCAAAGGTCTGGGGAGATTCTAGTACTAGTGAGGCTGTAGATGAGTGCAAGTGCTTCTTCATAAAACTCTGAAATAAGAACAAAAATTGTCATAAGAAATCACTCTCCAAATACCAACAAGAGTGAAAAATGGCTAACAGTACTATACACAGAAATAGCTCAAAATATCAAATTCAGTTGTAAGCATGAACTGAAAATTTCTACAAAGAGACATTTGATGGAACAAAAAAAAAAAAAAAAAAAAAATTAAGCCATAGTACTTTTTTTTTTTTCAACAAGTCGGCCGTCTCCCACCGAGGCAGGGTGACCCAAAAAAGAAAGAAAATCCCCAAAAAGAAAATACTTTCATCATCATTCAACACTCACCACACTCACACATTATCACTGTTTTTGCAGAGGCGCTCAGAATACAACAGTTTAAAAGCATATACGTATAAAGATACACAACATATCCATCCAAACTGCCAATATCCCAAATCCCTCCTTTAAAGTGCAGGCATTGTACAGTGGACCCCCGCGTAACGATATTAATCCGTTCCTGAGAGCTCATTGTTATGCGAAATTATCGTTATGCGAATGAATTTTCCCCATAAGAAATAATGGAAATCAAATTAATCCGTGCAAGACACCCAAAAGTATGATAAAAAAAATTTTTACCACATGAAATATACATTTTCCTACACACAAAGAGAAGGATACATGCACAATAGTAGAGTAGTACATGCACAATATATATTGTGCATGTACTACTCTACTAAATGAAGAATAAGTGACACTTACCTTTATTGAAGATGCAGCAATGACTGATGAGACACTGTGTCCTGGGAGTGCCTTTTCCTCCTGAGTACTGTAGGTCCTGTTTGGCATTTTCTTCCAGAACAGGCCTTATCACACTGTGTATGCCACTACGATTCTTAAATCTCTAAAAACCAACCTTTGCTGGCTTTAAAATTCACCAATATGAGCACTAGTTCCAGGCATTTTTCCCTGTTCACTGGTGTTAGTCGACTGGTGTGGGTTGCATCCTGAGAGACAAGATTAAGGACCCAATGGAAATAAGTTAGACAGTCTTCGATGACACTGACTTTTTGGGTTATCCTGGGTGGCTAACCCTCTGGGGTTAATTGTTTCTTGGTATTCTCAATAAGCCACACCAACAACGGTGCTACAGCAGCAGCAGCTGACAGTGCTACAGCAGCAGCTGACAGTGCTACAGCAGCAGCTGACAGTGCTACAGCAGCAGCTGACAGTGCTACAGCAGCAGCTGACAGTGCTACAGCAGCAGCTGACAGTGCTACAGCAGCAGCTGACAGTGCTACAGCAGCAGCTGACAGTGCTACAGCAGCAGCAGATGGTACTACAGCAGCAGCAGCTGACGGTGGTACAGCAGCAGCAGACGGTGCTACAGCAGCAGCAGACGGTGCTACAGCAGCAGCAGACGGTACTACAGCAGTAGCAGCAGCTGACAGTGCTACAGCAGTAGCAGCAGCTGACAGTGCTACAGCAGTAGCAGCAGCTGACAGTGCTACAACAGCAGCAGACAGTGCTACAGCAGCAGCAGCTGACAGTGCTACAGCAGCAGCAGCTGACAGTGCTACAGCAGCAGCAGACAGTGCTACAGCAGCAGCAGACAGTGCTACAGCAGCAGCAGACAGTGCTACAGCAGCAGCAAAACAGTGCTACAGCAGCAGCAGACAGTGCTACAGCAGCAGCAGACAGTGCTACAGCAGCAGCAGACAGTGCTACAGCAGCAGCAGACAGTGCTACAGCAGCAGCAGACAGTGCTACAGCAGCAGCAGACAGTGCTACAGCAGCAGCAGACAGTGCTACAGCAGCACAGACAAATGCTACAGCAGCAGCAGACAGTGCTACAGCAGCAGCAGACAGTGCTACAGCAGCAGCAGACAGTGCTACAGCAGCAGCAGACAGTGCTACAGCAGCAGCAGACGGTGCTACAGCAGCAGCAGACAGTGCTACAGCAGCAGCAGACGGTGCTACAGCAGCAGCAGATGGTACTACAGCAGCAGCAGCTGACGGTGCTACAGCAGCAGCAGCTGACAGTGCTACAGCAGCAGCAGCAGCAGCAGCAGCAAACGGTGCTACAGCAGCAGCAGCAGACGGTGCTACAGCAGCAGCAGCTGACGGTGCTACAGCAGCAGCAGCAGTTGACCATGGTACCACAGTATTTCGATAATATTTCTCACCTTTTTTACCACAGGGTTGGCACTAGAAGCTTTCTTGGGGCCCATGGTCACTTATTTTGCATATAAAATCACCAAAAACGCTGTAATAATACGAAATGTTCCGATTGTATGCTTGGATGTTACCGCGGAGGCTGGCTTGTAAACAATGCCACCGGCGGAACATGTGAGGCTGGCTCAGGCTGCACATTAGACGCGTCTCGGACGAATAGCGTTGAGCGGGTTTTTTAGCGGTATGCGAGGCAAAATTTTAGCGATAAAATGTATCGGTATGCGGATTTAACGTTATGTGATGCCAACGGCATGCGGGGGTCCACTGTACTTCCCATTTCCAGGACTCAAGTCCGACTATATGAAAATAACGGGTTTCCCTGAATCCCTTCACTAAATATTACCTGCTCACACTCCAACAGAACGTCAGGTCCCAATTATCATTCGTCTCCATTCACTCCTATCTAACTCGCTCACACGCTTGCTGGAAGTCCAAGCCCCTCGCCCACAAAACCTCCTTTACCCCCTCTTTCCAACCCTTTCGAGGACGACCCCTACCCCTCCTTCCTTCCCCTATAGATTTATATGCTTTCCATGTCATTCTACTTTGATCCATTCTCTCTAAATGACCAAACAACCTCAACAACCCCTCTTCTGCCCTCTGACTAATGCTTTTATTAACTCCACACCTTCTCCTAATTTCCAACACTCCGAATTTTCTGCATAATATTTACCCCACACGTTGCCCTTAGACAGGACATCTCCACTGCCTCCAACCGTCTCCTCGCTGCTGCATTTACCACCCAAGCTTCACATCCATATAAGAGTGTTGGTACTACTATACTTTCATACATTCCCTTCTTTGCCTCCATAGATAACGTTTTTTGACTCCACATATACCTCAACCACCACTCGCCTTTTTTCCCTCATCAATTCTATGATTAACCTCATCCTTCATAAATCCATCCGCCGACACGTCAACTCCCAAGTATCTGAAAAACCCTTTACTTCTTCCATACCCCCTCCCCAATTTGATATCCAATTTTTCTTATCTAAATCATTTGATACCTCATCACCTTACTCTTTTCTACGTTCACTTTCAACTTTCTACCTTTACACACATTCCCAAACTCATCCACTAACCTTTGCAATTTTTCTTTAGAATCTCCCATAAGCACAGTATCATCAGCAAAAAGTAACTGTCAATTCCCATTTTGAATTTGATTCCCCATAATTTAATCCCACCCCTCTCCCGAACACCCTAGCATTTACTTCTTTTATAACCCCATCTATAAATATATTAAACAACCATGGTGACATTACACATCCCTGTCTAAGACCTACTTTTACCGGGAAGTATTCTCCCTCTCTTCTACACACCCTAACCTGAGCCTCACTATCCTCATAAAAGCTCTTTACAGCATTTAGTAACTTACCACCTATTCCATAAACTTGCAACATCTGCCACATTGCTCCTCTATCCACTATCATATGCCTTTTCTAAATCCATAAATGCAATAAAAACTCCTACCTTTATCTAAATACTGTTCACATATATGCTTCAATGTAACACTTGATCTACACATCCCCTACCCACTCTGAAGCCTCCTTGCTCATCCGCAATTCTACATTCTGTCTTACCTCTAATTCTTTCAATTATAACTCTACCGTATACTTTTCCTGGTATACTCAGTAAACTTATTCCTCTATAATTTTTACAATCTCTTTTGTCCCCTTTCCCTTTATATAAAGGGACTATACATGCTCTCTGCCAATCCCTAGGTACCTTCCCCTCTTTCATACATTTATTAAACAAAAGTACCAACCACTCCAACACTATATCCCCCCCTGCTTTTAACATTGTCATGATCCCATCAGTTCCAGCTGCTTTACCCCCTTTCATTCTACGTAATGCCTCACGTACCTCCACCACTTACATTCTGCTCTTCACTCCTAAAAGATGGTATACCTCCCTGGCCAGTGCATGAATTACCGCCTCCCTTTCTTCCTCAACATTTAAAAGTTCCTCAAAATATTCTCGCCATCTACCTAATACCTCCATCTCCCCATCTACTAACTCCCCTACTCTGTTTTTAACGGACAAATCCATACTTTCCCTAGGCTTTCTTAACTTGTTTAACTCACTCCAAAATTTTTTCTTATTTTCATTAAAATTTCTTGACAGTGCCTCTCCCACTCTTTCATCTGCTCTCCTTTTGCACTCTCTCACCACTCTCTTCACCTTTCTTTTACTCTCCATATACTCTGCTCTTCTTATAACACTTCTGCTTTGTAAAACCTCTCGTAAGCTACCTTTTTCTCTTTTATCACACCCTTTACTTCATCATTCCACAATCATCTCCTCTTTCCTCCTGCCCCCACCTCCTATAACCACAACTTCTGCCCCACATTCTAATACTGCATTTTTAAAAACTATTCCAACCCTCTTCAACCCCCCCACTACTCATCTTTGCAGTAGCCCACCTTTCTGCCAATAATCGCTTATATCTCGCCCGAACTTCCTCCTCCCTTAGTTTATACACTTTCACCTCCCTCTTACTTGTTGTTGCCACCTTCCTCTTTCCCATCTACCTCTTATTCTAACTGTAGCTACAACTAAATAATGATCTGATACATCAGTTGCCCCTCTATAAACATGTACATCCTGGAGCCTACCCATCAACCTTTTATCCACCAATACATAATCTAACAAACTACTTTCATTACGTGCTACATCATACCTTGTATATTTATTTATCCTCTTTTTCATAAAATATGTATTACTTATTACCAAATTTCTTTCTAAACATCAGCTCAATTCAAGGCTCCCCATTTACATTTACCCCTGGCACCCAAATTTACCTACTACTCCCTCC